TGCATGAGATTTTTGCAAAAATTGATTTTTTTTTGTCTGTTTGATGTGACGCCCGTCCGGAAGCAAAGTCATTTATGTGGCTTTCCAACTGGCAAAGTAATATATGTTCGATCATCCTTTATCGATCGGAAGAGCGATCGACGGCAAAAATTACGGTGTTGTTTATAGACACCACCGCTTGGAGCCGGTATCGAGCCTCCACCGGCTCCAAGCGGTGATGTCTATAAACAACACCGAAAAATTCAGCGGACCCCCGCATACCCGATCCGGTAGAAGGCCCAGAAGCCGGCTACACTAGAGCATGTAAAATTGCAACATCTGCTCGCTCCCCGAGCTCTGTCTCTTGATGGTAGCATCCCACCATCCATCTCAGCCTCAGAGAGCCGGGATCATGCATATCAGTTCGCAGTCGTTGGACTTTTCCAAGGGCGGAACATCCGAACCGCACTATAGACGCTGATGACCTGGGAAATCAGCGGTAGGTCCACTCGTGCGTGAAACGTATCCCGAGCTGGTTTGATGCAGAAAATCTCTAGAGAAGAGACGGCGGATGGATAAGTGATAAAAGTAATTGGCAAAACCAGTCGCACAGCGGACCCGAACCCTCGCCCCTCGCATAACAGTTTATAGGTTTGGCGTTCGACTATCTGACTTCTCGCTTCACGGCATTCCATCAGTCATTGAAACGACACCGTTTCTGTTTGTTTCTGTCATTACCGTTGCTAGTGGTGCAGGCGGCATGAACTCAAACGATTTCACCGAAGTTCCCGGACAACTTGGGTTTTCTCAATTCTTCTTAGCATATGGGCGATTTCATTTTTTACAGAAACGTGCTGTCAACAGCGTGAAACTGTGTTCTCCTGTGGTCTATCAATTTCTTCGCTAGTCTCATTACGACTTGCGTGGCTGAGTATACTAATTGTCTAGTGTTTATAGTATGTGTTTGGCTGCAAATCTCTCCTCGAATTCAACACTCACTGAACAAAACTTATTATTTAATTTTATTTTACACGCATACAAAACATCGTCAACATCAAAACATCGAAACACCACATCATCAGGTGGGTCATACATGAAGAACTCGTCCTCGACCAATCCTTTCACACAGAAATGTAATGACGTAAGACGATGTAAAAGATGTAATGTAAGACGATCGAATGCGTATGTGGACTGTAGAACGTTTTCCACTTCGGAGAGGTGCCGATTTGGGAAAGTTTCTGTTTTTTCGAGCTTCTATTTCGCGGTGCTGAGAAACTCAGTTTCCATTAACACTCGAATTGAAGGCAAAAAACTGATAAGAAAAAGAAGAAATCGAGAATTTTTATTCAACTGGACTCTTCACCCGCGGAGCTTCCCACTAATCTTAATTTCAGCTTGATTGAAGTACTTTGGGGGAAAGTTATGGCAAAGTGATGGTTTGGACGGATTAATCTGTCGCAAACAGATTAACCGGTCCCAAACCTTTGGTTGATCACGAATTAGTGGCAGTATTTTTTAGTTCATGGAACTTAGGTGAAGTTGTAATATTTGAAAAGGATTATTCAAAGTTCCACAAATTTTAGCAGTCATACCCACCTACCTCTCCTCATGAATACCACGGGAATGTTCGAATATCTTAAATAGCTGAGGCATCCCATAATACTAATTTTTGAATGGCAAAGAAGAGAGAGCTGCAGCAATTTTTAGATGTGAATTACGCATATAATTGCTATGCATGACGATCCCCCTAAACATCAACAGTGGTGTCCGGGCGGGGCTTCTGCCCTACCCGGAAACGCGGGTGCGCTTCGTTGCGCGCGTCCGTCAAAACTATGTCACGTCGCAGTGGTCGCACGCGGCAGTCAGCCCGCGATCTTTGACAAACGTCGCAGTTGCCAGTGGAGCATACGAATTGCGCTCGGTCCACGGCAGTCAGCCAAAGAGAAGATAACACGGACGAATGCAAATCGTTTGCTGCACTGACACTTGGTGGTACTGCAATGTCATCCTGAGACCTCAGTGGGGTGCACCGCACGCGAATGGGCGGCGCGACCTATTTTTGACGGACGCGCGCAACGGACGTTCTCCCCGGAAACACTGTTGATGTATCCGGGTGGGGCACAGGCCTCGCTTGGATAAACTGTACCTCGATGCTGGCTTAGATATTTCATTTGCTAAATCTTTTCATTTTTGATCATCTAATCATATACAGCATGACCAGAAGGCTTTAGACAGCTCTTTTGAAGATAAGCAGATGGCTATACATACGAACACAAAATGGAACATAGAAAAAAACATCAATAAATTCTTAATCAGAACACCTTGTAGGCAAAGCTTGAAGGCAATGGGCACGTTAAATCGATGTGGGCAAGAAAGGACGTGGGAAGGACGTCAGCAGTCTTCGGTACAAAAGTACAACACGGGAACCGGGAATGCGTATTGCGGAAAGTTTGGCCAGTTGACTACCAGTTGACAGATCGGGATGCGAACCATACCGTAAGACTAGAGCGGTACTCAACTAGCCTACATACCTTTTTCCCATAAAAGCGATTTCAGTCGGACTATTTTTGTGGCGAAAGCGCTCATCCCAAATTGGGCTCCCCTATTGTGCCCACGGTCTTTAAGCCAGTACGAGTCAAACTCTTCAAGGATGGGTTTCGATATAACTTCTTGCGAAGTTGTAAACGAATTACAAGTAAAACAGACATCAAAGAGTAAACAATCAATGAATCGAATGTTTTAAGATCATCCATTAACGTTGCGAAGTGCTCTGAAAACAGACAAGCAGCTTACGCCCTGCACATGACATATCACAACAGCCTTTATGCTCTCACTTGGTGCCATTTTTGATTTGTTGCTTTCGCCTTTCGACATAACCCGTTCGCATATGATGGACGATCGTGTTGAAAAACCTTAAAATTCTTCAATAAATTTCAGCCTTCTAAATGATTGTCAACTTATTCCAAACGGTAGAGAACTAATGGGCATGGTTTTTCAGGTTCTCCAGGAAGTATCTCACGTGAATTTCACAAAAAATCCCTAGTCTCTACCGGTTCTGCTAGGAGCTTTCATAGGAATTCTGTAAACATATCAGGAGATTCATGACATCGTGATCGTGATCGGATCGAAGTTCCTATTGGCCCTGTTTGTTTTGAGCTATGAAGCGTTGGAAAGGGGTAGGCTCAGAACAGCTTAGAAGGGCATAGAGGTTTAATGCTGTTGACATAAGTTTCGATGGGTTTCAGCAGCGAAGGGGCGGGTTTCGAAATTTTAATGAAAAAGGGTTAGCATATGAGTCGACAGCTGGGTTGCTATTTGGCAAAGTAAGCAAGGATTAGGTAATCGGTTATGGTATCCGTAACCTCATGGAAGCTTCCGAAAGATCCCTTGAGAAATCTAGACACTGCAAAATTTTTGGTGAATCTTGCTGCACAACCTAATGACACGGGAACGACAAAGGTAACTCACACTGAAACAGACAGTTAACCATGAGTTCCACTAACCCTGCGCAACAGAACCCTCCCATATCCCCTTATACTCATGATTTTATATATAAAACATGTAATTGTGCTTCTACTCCACAGGTCATAAAAATGGTAGAAGGTAATTAGGTATTGTTAGTACCGGCTGATAGCATATGTGGGGATCAATCGGTTCCGTAAATCGGTACTGATCCCTATTGACTGATCTGAAGTGCCGAGGCAAGGAGATACCTCTGTACTTATCTATGCTGTGTAACATCAGTAACACTACAACCTTTTGGGTTATAGTAACGGCCACTACCCCAAACTCCAGGGGTTTTTTGTAAAAGTATGGAAGGGAGTATGAAGAATTTGGAAGTTACTACCTTTACCATAATCGTGGAAACTACTGCGGACGGGCAGACACATATGGAAGCATACAAACCCACAAACTGACAGATGGGCAGACTTACTCTTTGTCTTGACTGTCTTCCCTGTCTTTCTACAAGAGTGGTGTATCGGTTTATTAACCGATACACCACTCTTGTGGAAAGACATTCCACCTCAACAACAAAGCCCCATATTATTCTTTGGAATGAAAATTTTATGAATATCTGCATCCACAAGTCAATTGTCAATTTAGTACCTTTGACATACTATTACTGGATGCTACTATAAATCGAAATCTTACCTTTGCCATGCCAATATCATTTCTGCTCGTTTCGCTTCGTCCGTAATGTATCCAGTTAGGGTTTCATCTACAACTTCAGCCATACATACCTGGAATTTAAATAGAACAGTGTTAAGATTACGTAGCTGCTCTCTTGGTAAAAAAAATCGTTGCTCCCGGTTCTGCCCTTTTTCGTTGGAATGAAAAAAAGGAAGATGTCCTTATTCTCGAAAACGAAGCAAATTTTTCAAAGAAATCGTCCGATGCTCACTACAGACTTCTACGCAAAAATATCTGAGGAAGTCCGAAAATAAGAAAAAAGGAGTTGTCGATGAGTTCGACCCCTGCTGGACGGCTTTTTTCTTTTTTTCAATTTCTAGAGACCATGGCACCATTCGCCATCGAAGTCTCGCGTTTTCCTTGGGTGAACCGATCTACGAGGACAGAGCTAACACCAACCAGAAATATATCCCAGAAATTAGAATTGAAACCACGAGCGATGAAGTCGACATGCCGTGCGCCAAGTTCCTCACAAGCGTTTCGTACGAGATCGTCGTCTAGTTGCATCGTTACTATCTGAAATTCACAAAAATGTAAGCATGGTGCCTCTGATGAAAATCAAGAAAATACATTCAGGCAGGCTGCCCCATTGCGATGTTGTCGTGTTAAAAATTCTTGAAGTTCTTTCCTTAAAGCCACGCTCCAATTGGAGAGTGAGAGTGTTTTCTGTTTTTCCATTTTTTTCGGGGACGGGGATGGGGGGGGGGGGGGGGGGGGGGGG